TTTGGCCAGTGCACCCATTAGAATTATTTACTCATTTCCTGCTGAGATAGGATTAGAAAGAAGGCAAACAGCCCTCATGTTCATTTTCTGATCCTTCTTGCAGCACTCTTGAAAACCTGGAATGTAGCTCAGCTGCAAAGAGAAGTGTTAATATGTTTACCAGAAGCCACCGAGACATATAACTAAAATTGCCTTCTGAGGGACAGCATTACAGAAAACACTGCTGCTAGGGAGTCAAAAATTGTTTATAATGTACTTCATTGAAGGTGCCTGCAAACAGAATGGTCCACCCAAAACATCAGTAAACATGCCAGTGCTGCTCTCATCCACGGGATATTTTGAGGGCCAGAATGCTAAAATAGTTGCAATACAAGGATTAACAGAGGGTTGTGAACAAGCATGGCAAGTATGAGAGCATTTAGGGATAGTTTGTGATGGTGCTTCATGATTGTTTTGGGAGATCATTTAATGTCTGTCTCCTGACCTGTGGGAAAGGCAAACCACTAGAGAACATCCCTGATGTTCACACACCAGACCCACTTCACTTTGAAGAAAGACATCAGACTGTTGTAATTCTTTGTCTGATAAAACACACTTACACTTAAAGTTCTGGGGTTTGGTAATAAGAAGATGGAAAGATAAAGTGTTAGAATAGCTGGGATGGCAGGAAAAGACAATCTCAGAAGTGAAGTCAGGTGTCCAATAGAATGCCTTCATTTCAAAATGTTTTCTTAATACAAATAAAGCCTAGAAGTATTACTGAAATAAAAGCTGAATCCTCACATGACAGATTGACAGAATATCTCATTTATTATTGCATTACTTTTATCAAGGATTCTTACTGTAGAATGCAGGTATGTGCCCAGACCATCTTGTATTTGATATGATGCAAACATAGGGAGAAAGAAAAAAAAAAGTTGGTTTGTCCCAAAGCAAGTCATTAGCTGGGCACAAAGGGATACAGTAAATGTGTCCAGACACACAGATGTGTTGGGAGGGACAAGACACAGAAATGATACAGGGAAGCCTGGTCTTGACACTGCACTCCACATGGTAGTGAAATTTTGTTCTTTGGGATTAGGAGTACTTTTATTGACATTTTGCTGAAATCTCTTTGCAGAGATTTCAAAGGAGCTATTTGAGGTCAGTGCAGCACAGAGATTTAAACAGCCTTCCTGTGAGGGGAGAGGAAACAGAAGAACACAGAAATGACAAGGGCAAAAGAGACTGGAATTGTGGCCTTGCATGTTACTATGCAAGAGAACACATAGGTTAGGAAAAGGTTTAAAAGTGAAGGGAGAAAAAGATAATGCAATCAAGTGTAGTCATGGAGTACAGGAAGTTTCTCTTGAAGCAGTATTGCTGCCAGGAAATATACATGAAGAGAAGAATTAAATCTATCATTGTGGGTTTTTTTAGAGAGAAGTTTAAGTTGTATGCCACACAGGGAAAACCACATTGTTGGAAGCTTATCATCATGGTGGTAAAAGGCCAGGAAAAAACCCAAACCAAACAAAAAAACCCAACAAACCAAAACACCCCAAACTGCTCTTTATGTAAATGTTATGGCTGTTCCCAGGTAACTTACATGTGCAAAAGTACCTCTAAATCACAAAAAATATTTTAGTTATCGCTTCTTTTATTAACAGGTTGGATAGGATCTCTTCAGTAACAGATGATAACAATAACTCATTTGTAAAACTCATAATACTGTCAAGTATTGGCACGTTATAAGGCAAATCCTGTGTAGCCTCTATTTTAGGTAACAGCAGACACTTCTTGTTTGTTTGATAAAACTGGCACAGCTCAGGGTAACTATTAGGGATGTTTAAATTGTGATGTTTTTAATTCTGTAGGGTAGGTGTATAGAATAATCTGGTTGGGTTTTATATCTACAGACTGCCTTAAATGCCCACCAAGTGTATTGATGCAACCTGTGTAACTGTGTTGGACTGTGTCACCGTGCATTGTGAGTTTAGTGTCTTAAGGTTAATTCGGTGGAGCAAGATTACTCTGAAAGGCAAAACCAGCTGTACACTGACACAGCTCTTTTAAGCTGGTTACAAGTAAAAATATTTACTAATGACTGCACTTCAGCTAGATGAGGTGAAATTACTTTAACTGCATGATTTTCAACTCTTGCAGTTGTTTTTCAGAGGCCCCAGTATATATGGCACTAATTCACGTAAGGGATCTAAGCTGGAGCAGGTATTTCTTTTCTCATATTTGTATCAATATATTGGTGTGAAATGCACTTACACAACTCTAACAGTGTCAGAACTGTTCAAATGGTACAAGTTGTGTAAGGGAAGCCCTGAGTCTCCTTTGCTGCTACAGAAGTTCCTTTGTTGCTGGTGTTGGATCCTGGCCTGTGTCAGGAATGGTGTGCCCAGCAGGACAAGGGGTGTGATTCTTCCCCTGTGCTGCCACACATCGAGATTTGTTGTGTTCTGAGCCCCTCCATACAGAAAGGACACTGAGGTGCTGGAATGGGTCCAGAGAAGGGTAGCACTGCTGGGGAAAGGCTGGAGCACAGGAGGAACAGCTGAGGGTGCGAAGGTGTCACTGTGTCACTCTTCTCACTCCCCTGAAAGGAGGCTGTAGCCAGGTGGGGCTCGGCTTCTTTTCCCAGGCAACCAGTAACAGGACAAGAGGATATAGTGTTACACTATGTCAGGGGAGGCTTTGGTTGGACATTAGGAGGAATTTCTTCACGGAGAGGGTGATTAAAGATGGGAACAGGCTGCCCGGGGTGGCGGTGCTGTCACCATCTCTAGAGACGTTCAAGAAACGTCTGGCACCACTCAGAGCTGCAGTCTGTTTGACAATGTTGTGTTTGGTCCTCAATTAGAACCTGTTAGTCGATTACCTCAGCAGTCTTTTCCAACCTAATGCATTCCGTTACCCGTGGGCGCTCAGCCCGGCGCGCTCCGTGGGCGGTGCGGGTCCCTCTCCGCAACTGCTGCCCGAGCCGCGCGTTTCTGCCGCTCCGGCCCCGACCCCGCCGCGCCTCCGCGGGCCAGGACGCGGCTCTGGGGGGCCGGGCGGGCGCCTCATGCCCCCACAATGGCCCTCGCTGGTGATGGTGCCCTGCGGGGTCCTTCTCCTCCCCGTGGGGCTGCTCCGGCTCTCCTCCTCCTCCTGCCCCGCAAGGAGCTGCCATGCCCTGGCCGCGGCGGTGCCGGGCGGGCAGAGCGAGAACGACGCTACCTCACAGCCTGGGCGAGGGCTGCGGCCGGTGCACGTGCCTCTCCCTCAGGCCCAGGTCAAGGGGAGCTCCGCGCCCTCAGCCCAGCGGGCCCCGCTCCCTGGGTCCCGGGCTCGGGGCGGGAGCCGCGGGTCCCTCGGAGCGGGCCGGGCGGAGGGCGGTGGAGCGGCCCGGAGTGATGACGCGCTTCCTGCCCTCCCCGCCGGGGGTCTGCGTCTGGAGTCCGCAGCGGCGGCAGCTGCGGGCGGCGGCGGAGCCAGCGGGAGCGGGCGAGAGGCGAGCGGGGGGAAGGAAGGAAGCGAGAGAGCGGCGGGGCTTAGACGCTCCGCAATGCCACAGTAACAGCGTTCCCGGTAGGAGCCCCCGAGGACCCTCGCCGTGCCCCGCCGTTGTATATGGCATAGAGCGTGTGGTCTGTGCGGAGCCGCCGAGAGGGGGAAGACTCGGCGCGGGGTTGAGCGGCGGGAGCGCGGAGCCGCTCGGTTCTCGGTGCGGGCTGCCTCCGAGCGGCGGCAGGCGCCCGTGCTGCTTCGCCCCTGCAGCCTCGCCCGCGGGCAGCACTGCCCGCCTGACAAGTTGCCGGCTCCAGGGAGGACAGCAACAGCCCCGGCCCACCGCCGTGCGGGCTGAGCCCCGCCGAGGGGAGAGCGGCCTCGGCTCACCTATGGTTCGTCAGGAGCCGGGCCGGGATGAGGAGCAAACAGCGGTCTTTCGGGATTGTGCTGGGTCGTATAGGGCTGGAATAGGAGGCGGGTGCTGAGGCGGCCGGCCTCTCGCATCATGCTGGGGGAGAGTGGCGTGGCCGGGTCGGAGCTGGGTTTGCCCGGGGAACGGAGCTGTTGGGCGCTATTGGCGACCGTGATGTAGAAAAAAAACCTTTTCGCAGTACGTGGTGAAGTGACGACCTCCCAAGGACGATCCTGCCGCGTCTGCATACGCGTGGATCTGCATGTCTCCGTGTCTCCGTTCGCATCTTCCCACGGGAGCGGTGGATCGGCGGGGCTGCGGGCGGGTGGCAGGGCGGTCCCTGGGGCACCCGGGGCAGGGCAGGACGCGGCCGCCGCTCCGCAGCGCACACCGGCACGGCTGGGCGCTGCTCTGGGGCCCGCCTGGGCCGTGCGGGGCTGCAGCGGCTCCGCTCTGCCTGCCCCGGTGAGGCTTCGTGTCCAGGGCTAAGCAAAGCGCAGAACCTTCCGTGGTGCGAGGCGGCGTTGTGTGCTCGCAGCGGGGCTGTCCGCGTCCCGGGCTGGGCTCCTCGTGTGAGCCCTGACGCCTCTGTTTGTCCCACGCCCTCCCAGCAGGTCTGTGTCTCTGTGTGCAGTCTTGCCTTCGGGTGTCGGGAGAGCCCCGGCGCAGTGTCACTGCGTGGGAACACCTTCCTGAGAGCTGGGACCTCTGCTGGCTTTATGCTCACCTTCTATGGCTCTTTTGTTCTCCTGACCAGCCTCTTCAGTTTTTGTAGGCTTGACTTTTTGTGCATTAAAATGCTGCTATGACGTCTGGTTAGAAAGACTGTGGGAATGTTCATTGATTGAAAAAAAACTCTTGTCAGATGAAACAATTGTCCACTTCCCTCCAAATATTTTTCAAGTTTGTTT